TCCAGGAAGGATGAGGGAGGGAGAAAGGACAGAGGAGAGAGAGAAAGAGAAGAGAGGATCAGGTATTATCTAAGAACAAGCTCTTTAGTCACCTACTTCTTCTAGCTAGGCTCCACCTCATGAACCCTACTGGTTTCTGAACTTCTCACCAGCACCACCAGCTAGAAGCCCCCCATTCTACACATGAGCCAGGGGAGGTTACTGTGGTGATACATTGTATACTCTAACAAACTTACCTGAGGATCAGAGAACAGAGCCAGCCACTAGATTAGACATAGAGGCCAGATAGTGGTGGCACATTCCTGTAATCCTATCAATCAGGAGGTAGAGATCCCCGTCTGGATCTCTGTGAGTTCAAGGCCACACTGGAAACAGAACCAGGCAGTGGTGGCACACACCTTTAATCCCAGTACTGGGAAACAAACAAGCCTTTAATGCCAGGAAGTGATGGCAGGGTAGAGAAAGGTATATAAGGCCTGAGGAAACAGGAACTAAAGCAGTTCAGCTGAGACCCTTTCTGGTGAGGACTCAGAGGATTTCGGCCTGAGGAAACAGGATTGGCTGAAGAATTGGTGAGGTGAGGTTGGTTGTGGCTTGCTCTGCTTCTCTGATCTTTCAGCTTTTACCTTGATATCTGGCTTTGAGGATTGATTAATTGATTGATTGATTGATTGATTGAGACAGGGTTTCTCTGTGTAGTTTTGGTGCCTGTCCTGGATTCTCACTCTATTGACCAGGCTGGCCTCGAACTCACAGAGATCTGCCTGGCTCTGCCTCCAAGTGCTGGGATTAAAGGTGTGTACCACTGCCACCTGGCGCTTTGGGTTTTTCATTAAAAGGCCATTTAAGATTCAAGCAACAGGATCCTTCACACGAAAACCAGAACAGAAGTTGTGTTGCTATTTCTTCCTAAGACTCAAGAAGAAACAAAATTTACAAATCTTAGGCATCTCCTGAAACTTACAAGATCCAAAGGCCCTTCCGCAAGGTTATGTAAGCAGTAGCAATGACTGGGCAGAGGAGACTGAAGGCTAGGTGAAACAATGCTGCCTGAAAGCTGTGCAGGAGCCCCAGGGATGCAGTTTTCACCCATGCTGAGTGGGCTTTCCAGGGGCGCAGCTGCTTTTGAGTCATCCATGCTGCTGTAGGAAACCCCTCACTTGTCCATTTATAAATAACCCTAATAAATTCACTGGCTCATTGGGCTAGACTTGGGTGACTTTGTTTCTTTGCTATATCTTCAGTGCCTTATCTGAAATGTTATAGATAGATAGATAGATAGATAGATAGATAGATAGATAGATAGATAGATAGATGGATAGATAGATGGATAGATAGATAATGTTCATACCTGTGCAGGAAAAGTCACACAACACAAAGAAAGAGTGGTTTTAGGGAGGTTCTGTTTAAAAACAAAGGAAAGTCAGGTCTAGTGGCCCACGTCTGTAATCTCAGGTCTCAGGATGCCTAGGCATGAGGAGAGAGAGTTTGGGGCCAGCTAGTCTGTATACAAACTCTTGTCCATTGGACTATGAATGGAAAAAGAAATTGTGGTCTACATATACAATGGGGTTTTATTCAACCACAGAGAAGAGAAAAACTGGGTCATTCACAGGAAAAAGGATGGTACCAGAGAGCATCATGTTAAGTAAAATAAGCCAGATTCAGAAAGATGAATAGAACATGATTTTTCTGATATGTGGAATCTAGATTATTTTTTAAAAGGCATGAAAGTAGAATAAGAACTGCTTGGGCAGAAGAAGAGTGCCTGAGTGTATGGGGGAGGGGAGGGCAGTGAGCAATTGATATGATACAGACATGTGAAAATACCACAATGAGCCCTATCATCTTGTGCTAAGCATACACATACACTAACAAAAACAGCAACTTGGCAAAGCAAATGAAGTAAGAAGAGTTCAGTGGCATATAGTAGACCGTAGAAGATGAGAGGCTGCAAGATGGAGAGATAGGAAAAGAAGGGAGGGACACCAGAAGAGGGTGGGATTCCATAGGAAGAGAGAGGAGAGAAGAGACAGGGGAAAGAGAGGGAGAGGAAGCAAAGCGAAGAGACCAGTGTGGAAAAGAGAGGGAAGCCATTTTCTCTGGATAATCTGCTCCTTTTGGGCTAGAGAAGCGTTAGGTTACCTGTGTCATCTTTAGCCTGACATGCTTTGTTTTCCAGTGTTAATGCATGGGGGATTTGAACTGTTTAGTGTTCGTTTGTTTTTTAGAAAATGCTTAGTGATGAAAGCTGAAAGTCATAATTAAAATGATATTTTTGAGTTCTCATTAGGCATGTCCCTAAGGGCCCCCACACCACCCCATGTGCCAATGGTAACCCCTACCTGGTGGCTTTTCTTAAGCATGTATTGATTCCCAAGGAGCAGCTGATAACGTGGCTTGACTCCACATCAAGTGTATTTGTGTCCAGCAGCATGAGATGCATCCTCTTTCCAATCAGGAGAGCAGTAGAGATAGAGAGGTGGCTGTGAGCTGGGGCCAGTGAGCCAGGGATAGTGACCTAGGGCCAGTGAGCTTGGCTTCTATGATCCTGGTGAGGTGATCTGCTCACCTGCTCCTTTCCCATCTATCAGCTGAGAAGGCTGCCCTGACTCTATGGTCTTTTCCATCTAGAGGCTGAGATGCAAACACTCAGGCCCAGGAATGCTCTCCTGTCCCCTTTTAGAAGATCAGCAACTAGATTGTCAACTGTTGTAGAATATTATTTTAAGGTGTGTTACATTTGTTTATGCTGTGGAATATTTGTTTAATGATGCAAAGATGTGCTGCATTCCTTTATGTTGCCTTTATTTAACTCTGTGAAGCTGTGTTACTTTGCCTGTCTAAAACACCTGATGGTATAATAGAGTTGAATGACCAATAGCAAGGCAGGAGAAAGGATAGGTGGGGCTGGCAGGCAGAGAGAATAAATAGAAGGAGAAATCTGGAAGAAAAAAGAAGAACAAGGAGAGGAGGACGCTAGGTGCCAGCCACCCAGCTACCCAGCCAGCCACCGAGTAAGAGTGAAAGTAAGATTGTAGAAGTAAGAAAAGGTAAAAGCCCAGAGACAAAAGATAAACAGAATAATTTAAGAAAAGCTGGCAAGAAACAAGCCAAGCTAAGGTCGGGCATTCATAAGTAAGAATAAGCCTCTGTGTATGATTTATTTGGGAGCTGGTGGCAGGCCCCCCAAAAAAACAAAGAGCCAAAAGAGAGAAAAACAACACCAGTCAGCCTCAGAGTTGTGTCTGAGAGACAGGAGCCATGCTGATGTACCTTGAACTGTACCAAATAAATAAAGATCATGGAGCTGGGCAGATGGCTCAGTGGGCAAACTGCCTGCTGTGTAAGCACGAAATTTTGAATTAGATCCCCAGGACCCACAAAACAAGGGGCAGTCGTGGCAGTGTGCTTCTAACCCTAGCACTGGGGAGGCAGAAACAGGAGGATCCTTGGCACTCACCAGTGAGCCAGAACAACTTACTTGGTGATCTCCAAGCCAAGTGATGCCTCAAAAAGTAAGATGGACAGCGCTTGAAGAATAAAACCTGAGGTAATCCTCTGGCCTCCACATGTATGCATGTGCACACTTACACACACACACACACACACACACACACACACACACACACACACCCTTAAGAAGTAAAGTCTTAGTCTTGGCCAGACATGGAACTCTCAGTTTGGAGACTGAAGAAGGCATTTGGCTTCGGTACAGTCAGGACTGTGACACAGCTGTCAGCTGGACGGGCTGGGAAGACACCGTGGTGGAGGACAAGGACATAGGTGGAGGACAAGGACATAGGTGGAGTGATGCGGCCTGGTAAAGAAGACTCCAACAAAGGAAGCGCAGGACTACAGCTTGGGCTGCTGCCTTCCCACAGAGGCCCAGGACACTTCCATCCTGAACCCAGGAATCCAAAAATGACTGGGGAGATGGTGAGAAAAAAAAAATTGCATTTTGATGAAAATCCAATTAAAGGAACAATTAACTGGGCGCTTCCTCGCACAACACCGTGCTTGATGAATTCTGGGGGCCTGCTGAACGGGATGGGCCTGTACATCGAAGGAGTTTATAGTGAGGGGGTGGAGCAGGCAGTGGAGGGGTCCAAGTAAACAAGCAGGGGTGAGGTGAGGCTGTGTGTGCTGCTGTGGTGGCATGTCAGTTTCTTGTGCCTGAGGATTAAAAAGAAATCCACAAAGGGCAGTCTCGGTGACGCCCCCCTCCAGCTCCTCCGACAGCCCCTGTGCCCTCAAATGCCCTGCTGCAGGAAAGGGAACTGAAAACCTTTGGTAAATAGTGACTTTCCTCCGTAAATCATATTTAAATGAGACAGCTGTATTTTTGTACTTAGTGCTTAGCCAAATCCTATTTAATTAACCTACTTAGACTTGTTGATTGAGGTTAATTAGACCCTGGGATTGATGTTAATTGCCATTGTAAACTGCCAATGTTATAGGCAGCACATTTTGGATTTGGCAAAAAAGAAAAAAAATATTAAGGTAGAGATCTATTTTTTCTAGCAGGCTTATCTTTTGTTTTATTCTTCCCATCCCTTCACAGATAGAAAAGTATTCCCTTATCCCCAGTTGCATTTGCTTTTGTTTGGGCAGTGGCTTATTAAAAGCTATGATTCCATTTGGGTCCCTAATTGCTTAGGTATGACTACAGATGGCCTCTTATTATTCCCTCTTTCCCACCTCTTTTCTCTTTCTGCCCCCAGCATATGCACATAACGTGTAGGCATACACACAACGCACACACAGATGTATGCATGCACACATGTGTAAGTGCACACTCATGCACATAGGCACATACACAGTGCACAAATATGCAAGCATACATGCACACAGACAGGTACATACTCTGCAATCTGTTTCTTCTAGGTATATTCTCTGAAGCATTGCGGCTTTTTCCCCTGGCAGATGTGTGCTGCTTATAGAACACTCTGGGTTTATAAAGAAAAGAAGTCACTCTGGTAAAATGTGTGAGCTTGAATGTGGTCTGAGAGGACACAAGGATAGAGAAATAAATACAAGACAAAAGTTCACACTCACGGTGACAATGTGCAGGGGTACCACTGTGCTTCCCCTGTTTTCTTTAGAGCCAAGTTTAAATTTAGGAGGAGAGGAAGGAGGAGAGAAGGGAGAGGGCAGGAGAGCATGCCAATGCAGCATAGTCTTAAAATTCTGTTAAACTGATCACAGGGCCGTCCCCGTCTGTGTGGGTGAAAGAGGAAAGCTAAGGGCCTTCTAAGTAGAAAACAATGCTATTTTCAACAGAATGTTCTTTTAATTTAGAAAATTTGATTAAAATTATATTTTCTTTGAAGCTGATTAAACCTCAGTGGGAGCTTTAAAATACCCAATGCTGGGCTAAATATCACGTAAATTCCTTCTCCCGCTCCTTCTCCCCGCTCCCCCTCTCCCAGTACCAGCTGCTCTTCTACTCAGTTCAGTTCAAGAAGCCTGTTGTGTGAAGATGCCCCTGTTCACATGTACATAGACATGAGTCTAGGTGAGTGCAATTCTGGATACACGCATATAAAATATCTAAATGAACACATACTTGGACCTCAGCTGGGCTGCTGTGAGTGTAAAATGCTCACCTCCTTCTGGTCACCACTTCCCCTTGCTCTTCATTAGTGACCTATGACTCTCCCAGTCTATTCCTGGGAGCAAATGCAGCAGCCCACCGATCACATGCAGTCAGCAAGGTGACAGAATCATTGTGGACTTGTGGACTTGAATCCCTCCGGAGCCTTGTAGTTGTGAGATCTCAACAAAGCAACAAAAGGCAATGGGCGTGTACGTGGGTGGGCAGGTCATCCTTTTGAATTGCATGTATTTATGTGTGTGTTTGTGTGTTTGTGTTGAAATCCTGCCTTCCAATTTCAAAAGTCTGGGTAATAAGCAGAATGCTAACATTTCAATCACCCATTTTGTGACCTAGAACTTTAGAGTGTCCTTGTTGCCATAACAACACACCCCATACCCAAGATGGAGTGATTTGTAAGTAACCGAAGTTTATTTGCTCGGGGATCAGAAGTCTGAGAAGTTGAAAGTACTGGAAGGTCTGCTGCCTGTTTCCCCCCAGGATGTCTCCTAACCACTGTGCCCTTGTTTTCCAGTATGGAGAAAGGCTGTGCCCTCACGTGACAGAGGGCGAAAGGGTAGAGAGTAAGAGTGGGAAGGGGGTGGGATGGGGAAGTGAGGTGTTGGTAGAGGTGCAACCAAAGTGAAGATAAGCTATGTGGAAACCTTCCAACCCAAGAACGATTTCCATTATAATGTATAATAGAAGACAAGTGTCGTGAAAGGTGAGTGATGGAATTCTTGAGGTTAACGATTAACTGGAGATAGGGGTTTGGGAGAAGGGGGTGCTAGTGGGCAGGTTAACTAAAACTAAAGATGCATAAAGAAGCCTAAGAGGTGTCCACCAGCTAGTAAGCTAATCAAAATACATAGAATATATAAAAATATAAATAAATTTGAACCGTGTATAGGTAGACAATGCCCATCCCAAAATGCTGGCACCCAAAACAATACAAGTAATTGTCATGACTTTTGGTTGCCCACCACAACTAGATGGCTAGACTCTATTACTACAGACAGCCTCACTTTGGATGCAGGGCATAGAGGAATCAACTTCCAACTTTCCAGGAAATCCCCTCCGTGCTGCCTGGCTAATATGGCCCCAGAAGGTGCTGTAAAGGATATGGCAGGTAGAAAAGGCAATGGTAGTCTTACCAAGTGCTTTAATACTCACCTACAGACTAGATGTGCCTATAGATGCAATAGAGGGAGAACTGTTATAACTAACGGATCTTTTATAGTATTTGGGACCTGCTCTACACGAGGTATTTTATGCTCAGTACTGTAACCTGTTTAAAAGCCATGACTGGGAAGTTTATAGGCCCTGGGGTGGGGTGAGGACCTACTTACTACTGGTGTTTGCTAAGTGGCCATTCTGTCAAACGGCACTGCTGCCATGAATCACTGCAGCTGTGGTCACCTACACAAGACCTGTGCAAGACAAAGCCATTCAAGCTCCCAGCATGGATGGGATCTTGTGACAGCTGGAGGAGCTAGTGGCAGTTGATGGCTGTAAAGGGAAGAGAGTCACTAGCCTTTGGGGACTTGGACTCAGGTATGTTGTTCAAGCCTGAATGGAAAGCTACACACTCATGGACATGTGGGCAGCACTTAGTGGACTCAGGAGGTTGTTATAATAACAGACAAAGAAAAGGTGAAGTTAGGCGGGATATGGGGAGGGGGGACTAGGAGGAGTTGGAGGAAGGTAGTGGTAGATGGATACAATCAATTTATATTATAAATGTGAATAACATTTTCAAAGAATAAAAATAGTATTAAAAAGAAAAACTATGTGAGGGCTGGACTCTCCTTTTACAGAGGCTTTGGCCCTACCCGTGGAGGCTGTCAACTCTTTCTGTCACAGTCATGTGGCAGTGTCCAAAGTACACTTCACTCTTTCCCTAAAGCCTTGTGTTGAGGTTCCCAGTGATAAGCTAGTTAATGTTGAGGTGTTTGGGAATCTTACATTGGCCTTCAGAATGAAGTTGGGCAACATGAGGTATCACAAAGCTCTCACTAAAGTGGGTTCATTCAGTCTCAAAGAATCCATCAGGAGTATTCTCATTAATTTGTGAAGAAGTACTATTTATTTATCTATCTATCTATCTATCTATCTATCTATCTATCTATCTATCTATCTATCTATCTATCTATTTATTTATTTATTTATTTATTTATTTATTTATCTATCTAGAGACAGTCTAGCTCAGCTGGCCTGTAACTCCCAGGGTAGCTGAAGATGACTTTGAACTCCAGATCTTCCTGTTTGTATCTCTTGAGAGATGGGATTACAGGTGTGCACCCCCAAGCTCAGTCAATTCAGTGCTGGGCAAGCTCTCTACCAACTGCACTATGTCCCCATTTTCATTTTTATAACACTTTCTAAGCATCCTTTAAAAAAAAAAAGGCATATTCTACTTAGAGGGCTCTTATGTTATCTTTTTCAGCTTGTGTGGATGGGGACAACACTATGGTCATCTGTCTACTACTTAATATTCAGGCCAAGTCTCCTGACTGGTATGTTAACACCTTATAAAAGGCTTGTTTATTTCTGTGTGTATTAACTTAATGGTTTAAGTCCTAAAAGCAGATTTTCAGTTTCTGATCTAAAATCTTCACAAAGTAGGTTCTTATTATTAATAGAAGGGCTGCAAGTATTTCCATGTTTATCCTGTCAACATTCTGCATCATTATTCTGTGCAAGGCCTTATGCTCAAGGATGGGTTTTCAGAGAAGAGACTGGCCTCTGACCTTGGGAAGCTTGCTGGTCTCAGCAGGGAGAGCTCAGGGTTATGGTAGTCTGCTGGAGACAGGACAGAATGACAGCTTAGCTGAGAGTCTAAGGAGTTAGCTGCAGTGTTTCCCTTTCTTACCTTTAAAAATGTGAGTGCACGTGTGCGTTCGTGTGTGTGTGTGTGTGTGTGTGTGTGTGTGTGTGTGTGTGTGTGTGTGTGAGCTCGAGCACATGCATGTGTGCATGGGGTTGTGTGCATATGCATGCATGTGTCAGAGGTCAATCTCAGATGTCATTCTTTGGTAGCCACAATCTTGATTTCTGGGAAAGGGTCTCTCACTGCCCTGAAGCTCACCAATTTAGCTTGGCCAGTCAATGGTGTTTCCATCCCACCATACTGTGCTTGCAAGTCTATCTCACCATATTTGGCTCTTTAACCTGAAGATGGAACTCAGGTCCTCAGGCTTGTGTAGAAACTGAGCCATCTCCCCAACTCCAAAGCAGCAAAGTTTCTTGGACATGATAACTCCAGAGGATTATCTAAGTAGTAAGTAGGGATCAGATGAGGGTTGGGCCTTTAATTTAGGGAGACACTTAAAATACAGTCATTGTTCTCATGCTTACCAATCTCACTATGCCACATTTATTAAAGGCCCCAAGTTGATTAAGTGGGCTGGGTAGCTTTAATTGTCAAGTTGGTCTTAACAACTAGAATCACCTAGAAAAAGAATCTCATCAAGGGATTGTCTACTTGGGTTGGTCTGTGGGTGTTTCTATGGGGGAGCTTTTTAATTACATTAACTGATGTGGGAAGATCCAGTTCATTGTGGGTGGCACCATTTCCTAAGGCAGGGGGTCCTGAAATGCATAAGGCTAGAGACACTGAACTAAGTATAAACAAGGAGGTGGTGAGTATAGATGTGTTCATTCATTTCTCTTTGCTCTTGGTTGTGGATGTGGTGTGACTAGCTATCTCAAGTTCCCACCTTGGCTTTCTGACAATGATGGGTGGAACCTGGAGTTTTAAGATGAAATAAAGGCCCTCTCTCTAAGTTTCCCCTTTTCCCCTAAGTTGCTTCTTATCAGGATATTTTATCATAGCAACAGAAATGAAACTAGAAAAAATATAAACAAGGTATGCTTATATCTAATTTGTGTTTTTTCTACTTTCAGGTAATGCTTGACTTGATGATTGTGATGTACATTCACGTGTTGCATGTCTGCATTGCTATCCACTAGGAAAATTTCATTTGAATGACAACTAGCCACTGTAGACTGAGAAGGACGAATAAAGTTAAAATTGTAGGTAATCTAGTTGTTTGTTTGCTTTGTATTTCAATACTAAATTTACCTTTAAATAGCCAACAGAGATGTGTTTATAACCTCTTGGCCTAACAAAATAAAATGAAGACTTTCACAGAGAGAAACAGACTTCTTGATAGTTAATTCTGAAGGCGTGTATGTGTGAACTTCTCTTTGAAGGGTTTGCTGTGGGTACTTTCTGAATCATGGCTGTTTCTGTGACCTTTGACTAATAGGAGTAGGCACTTCAAGCCTGGCAAGATGGTTTTTGGCAAGATGAGCATGTCATGGTTTCTGTGGTTGACTGAGAGACTTCATAGTTTGTCATACATCAGATATCTGGATAGCAAAGCTAGACCTTCCTTGTGAGGGCCAAGGAGCTTTAGTTGAATACTTCTGGTCTGAGGATTATTGATTGATAAATAAAACACTGAATGACCAGTAGCCAGGCAGGAAGTATAGGCAGGACAAAGAGAGAGGAGAAGTCTGGGAAGTGGAAGGCTGAGGCAGAGAGACGCTGCCAGATGCTGCTATGACAAGCGAGATGTAAGGTACTGGTAAGCCACGAGCCACGTGGTAACTTATAGACTAATAGATATGGGTTAATTTGAGATATAGGAAATAGATAGCAAGAAGCCTGAGCCATTAGGCCAAACATTTTAAATAATATAAACGTCTCTGTGTTTATTTTATAAGTGGGCTGTGGGACTGCCGGGGCTTGTCGGGAGCTGGAGAGAAACTCTCCAGCTACACTTCTTGGCTGGGGATGCCATTGTAGTCCCATCTTGGACTTGACTAGGGGTTCTTTAGCTCTGATTCTGTAATTAAAGAGCACTGATCCATGCTGTGGAGCATAGAGGAGGTGTCTTGTCTAGGAAATATGGACAGCAGGTATTCACCAGCTGGCCAGCTTGGGTATGGGAAAACCATGCCGGGATTCCTGCTGTATACTTGGTTTTGAGTGCTCACACCTCACTACACTGGCATTAGCTACACTGTGCACCAGCACATAACAAAAGCAACCTCTAGGGAGGAGTATGGAGATTTTGTGTTCATGGTTTTCAGTAGGCTGTTCTTTTCATGGTAATTGGAGGTAAGGACTAGTACTTTCCTTCAAACCATTTCATCTTCACTGTGGTAAAAGCACATTTACAA